GTGAGAGTGTAGAATAGATGATACTTTGCTCTTGCAGAAACGTAAGAGATGGAAAAAAATGACAAAAAATATAGTTATAGCTGGTATTTGATTTACATGTATAAGTGGACAGCATCAATAGGCATTACGAAAGTCACACAATGGTTCTTCAGTTATTGGAAATTTTAAATTATACAGGAATAAGTAAATATTGATCAAATCTACATCCTTAAGAACATGTTACAATGTATATATAGATTTTCCTGAAACTTTTTGCTATTCAGGTTATTTGAAATAAAACGTAAACACCCTTTACATTATTCATCTATTTATTATTTTATTGCTTCTGTGAAAATGATGAATGTGTTATATATATATATATATATATATATATATATATATATATATATATATATATATATATATATATATATATATATATATATATATATATATATAATATACTAAATGCAAAATACTTTTCGCTATTTATTAAACTATCTCTCCTTTTACATTGTACATCGTGGCTGTAAGAAAAGATAACATTGTTTATCACTTATTTTTTTTTTGTAACAAAAACAATGAAAGCTGTAGCTATCATTGTCTCTCTCTCTTTGTCAAAACAAAACAATGATATTTATAACAGACATTAATAAACAATAAACATGGTTTATTTATATTATGTACTTTGTTAATTATTGACAAAGGGAACTAGTGCATCTGATAAATTATTCAGTAACAGTGACCACCAGTCCATTTTGGTTTTTTAATATTTGATGGATATAAATTTATCAATATTATAAAAAAAAAAATAGATACAACATTCTTCTTTACCAAAAGCTGTCATCAATAAAAAGGGTTTGCCAATTTCCAGCACATGCTATGGCTTCAACATCATAACTAGGGGGAAAAAATTGTATATATGTAAATTTACCTTTCTTTATAAAGAAAATATACACATACATTTCAATTTGCACATTTTTAAAACTAGCAGTTAGGTTTCATCTTCTTAAGCACTTCCTCATTTTGGGACAATATATGACACAACAAAATAATATACACGGATATATGTACACAGCTTAATCTTCATATTGATTTTTAGGCATTAATTAACATTATTTACAATTAATACTCCAGAAAAAACGAAAAATATGACATCAACAGTAAACGATAACAAGAAATAAAATTCACATCAAAATCCAACAGAACTTAATTTCAAAAAAGGGTTTTTTTTAAAACTATATAGTAATAACAATCAAGAAAACATTATCATACATGTTAACAGAGAAAAAATATATATAAATTAGCTGATTATGCTCATCGAGAAACTCTTACAATAAAAAAAAAAACAAAATTGAAAATTATATATTCAGATTGTTAATAGCTAGATTACAAAATTAAAGTAAAACAAAAAAAAAAAGGCTACATCTGTACATTTCGTCATATTTTGAATGAACCATCCTATCTTCAGTAACTTTAAAACTTAAATTATCTACAACTGAAAAAGTTCCTCATATTCTTTAGCAAACATTGTATATTACATGTAGTTTTCTATCTGTGTTTTACCTTTTCTTGCCACAATTGAAAAAAAAAATTCTCAACGAGAATTGAATTTGACGTTCCATGAGGATATCTTAAGTTTTTCTTCACTAACTCTCAAATTTTCTTGAAGTAATCAATTGGAAAAAAATGTAGAGATACCATTGATAAACGTATCACAAATTTACAAAAAGGAAGTGGATGAAAGTTGAAAATACAAATAAATACTGTAGTTTTACTACATTATTTCTACAATAGTTTTTCCCAGATATCGTTAACATCATTGATAAATGAAGATCCGTGTTAAATTCTCTGTGTTTTTAAAAAATACAGCAAGGAACTTTGAGAAATTAAAGTAAGAGATGTTTTGATTTTTTTTTGCGTTGTTACCAAACAAAATGAAGGATTTATCTGAATTGAAATACATGAATCTCATTCTACCCTCATAACAAATACTGCACATCACACCAGTTTTTACTGTATAATATTATACTTAATGTGGCTCTAAACAACTATAATAAAGAAAAATATTCTATTCTTTCAACATAGTTCAACATTATATGAATTCCTACACTCAGAAAACAAAATAACTACAGTATAAGGGACAAGCTCTCAACAGAGCCTTAGTGACATTTCAAAATAAATGAGCATTATCTGAACAAAATTCCTTAATCATTCAAACATCAAATATGCACCGAGATAATCTGCCAGTAAATCATTTATTTACTTAAGAATGTAAAGAGATGTCTCTGATGAGACTGTAGCTCTACTGGTTTGTACTTAAAACAAAGGAAGAGAAAAGTGGCACTTGGACTTGAAACTTTGCAACAGCAATGCATAGAATAATGATTTTAGTTTAAGTTCCTTTTTGCAGCAAGATTTATTGCAATCACTACTTGTGTGCCAAGTTACATTAAAATCAGATCAAAACTGTAGGAAGTGTTGCATTTTGAAAGTATTTCACAGAAATTTCTATTTTTAGTAACCATGATATTATTGTTCATGGAAATCAAAACAAATATATAGTCTACTTGTAAATGTATGCCAAGTTCTTTTGAAATCGGAGCAAAACTGTAGAAGGAGTAGCGTTTTGAAAAATTGTTTACAGACAGACGGACAGACAGACACCTTACTATTACACAAGCTCTTCTGGTCTTCAACCACTAGAGCTAAAAATGATCCAACACTGTTTAAACTGATAAATAATACATAATTTTGAACTACTTTTCTACTACCTTTGCCCATTATAAAAGGCCGTTTATTTAATATTGCATGTGATGTTATTTTGCACAGGAAACAAAGATACTGAATCTCAAACAAGAGACAGATGGTGACAACCAAAACAAACATAAATCAATTATTTTCCTCTAAATCTCTTTGTTTTCAGCATTTAAATTTTTTTCTAAATGCAAAATTCTCTCAACTTCAGTAATTTACTCATCATTCTGAGGATTGGAAATATGAAAGGTAAAAAAAAACAATAAAATACACTTATTCCATCAATAATAAATCAATGGATGAATTCTAGTCTGTATTTGAAAGTAATTGACACTACATTGTGAAATGGTTCTAGAGAGTTGGAAAATGAAAAAAAAAATGACAGATGGAACTGATGAATGAACACAGTTAAAAGAAGCTAGGTCATCTGAGTGACTTAAGAGACCTTTCAAATGGGGGGGGGGGATGAGAACTTAGCCAAGCTTCTATACTTTTGATTGTTGTTTGTAACTTACTCCTGAAATGTCTAGTATATTGTAAATTATGATAATCACTTCAAGTAGAACTGTACATGCAAGGGTATCAATCTCCTATGCAGAGTTGTTGTTCGTTCCTCTCTCAGACACCTCTGCAATGGGCTCGCGTCAAGATTTTTGACATAACGTTAAGAACATAACATTTCAAGGATTATTTCAAATTAAACTAATAGTTTTAGATCTATTTTGTAAATATCCATCATTAAGGACTATCATTAGCTCAGACATTTAATTATAATGGATTAAAAGAAACGCACTATTTCTTGTGCTTATCAGTGTGGTATACACGAGCCAACGACAGAGGTGAATGTATGAGCCGATGGTAGAGAGTGCAAGGGTATATGCAGTATGAATTATAATGAAAGTGAAGTCACACGATTCCTACAATTTTCATAATATCACTGTTACATGTACCGTATATACCAAATAACATTCACCACTTGCATAATTTACACCACATCTAACACTTGCTTAATTAGTTACCTAAATAATATAATACAAATATTGCTCTTGAGTGAAATATTTGTTTAATTATTAGAGAGACAGAAAGGAGAGTGATATATAAAATTTGTATCACACAGCACTGAGTAGAATTTCTTAAGGTCACAAGATCTAATAATAGGCATATCTAACTGGATCTCCTGTTAACTCGTTTATTGACATGGATGAAGGAATTAGATGTTGCTCTTGTTTTATTATCAGATATGATGCAATGGTATGAGAAACAAATCTGTCCATTAAACACCGGAAAGGTTCCAAGCATTTGTTAAGAAACTGCAACATATGTACCAAGTTTACCTTATTTCCAGATTTTTGTCCAGAAATCTGAGACTTATCAAGTAAGTACCAATGAAACATAAGAAGATGATCAATGTAGTCATTAAAACATATAGGCTATAAAACAGAGAAAAAGTCATTGGGGTTTTGGAGATCACATTTAAGTAAGGCTTTTGAATTACAGCTGCATTAATAAATTCTATGAAGATACCCTTAATTGGTTTGGTTGGAAAATAATTACTATCTTTTAGTTTGATTGGCAAGTTAAGATATGCAAGAAAGCTGCTATGGGTTTTGGAGGAAAATAACTGAATTTTCTTGAAATTTGATTTTTTAAAAAAAATAAAATTGTATGAACAATGTATTCAGAGTGACTCCTGATGTGTCATTGAATGGGACACTGTCAGAAACCTTCAACACCACAATCTCATCTGAATAAGAATGAATCACAGCTGTACATTCATAAACCTGGCAAGAGTTAGACTAGATCACAGAGGAACACAAGAAGAGTCTGATAATATTAACAAAGAAATCCTTCCCTCCTGTCTTCAGAGTATACAATAATACTGTGTTCATGAGTAATTTTATATATATATATATATATATATATATATATATATATATATATATATATATATATATATATATATATATATATATATATATATCAACAAGAATTTTATAATCAAACAATACCAATGAAATATTGGACACCCCGAAAAGTATTCGGACACTATAAATACACTATACTTATCTAGTATATAAGCATTTGGCATGGTAAGTAAGGGGGGACGACTAGGAAACAAGAAGAAATGCAGTCTGAATAGGAATACACAGACTCTATACTATCACATGAGATTCTGACATTTTGGTATGTTGGCCAGCAACACACTACCTTTTTTTGTACATTGTTTTTGGCAGCAATATCAAATCAATAGATATTGTGGTACATGTATTATGTATAATTTCTGACATTGGTGTAAACGCTTGATTTCCCAGGTTGTTTCAGAACTGCTTGGTGGTTCAATGACATATGCATTCCTTGAGAGTGGCACCTGTTGAGACCACAGCTTTTTGGTGACGGACTCTACATCATAATGGACTGTCCAGGACATCTGGTATATCTGATTGGCTGTCGTTGAATTTCCCAAGCCCCATTGATTGTGCTGCTTCTGTGATCTACAGTGGAGGATTTGAAAATTCTTCACATCCAAAATGGCAACATATACTGTATACCTACTATTATTTATAACAACTTTCGTTTATGATCTAAAATCATGCAACATTAAGTTTTGTGACTGATGAGACATTTTACTTAAATACATAATTAAATAAATAATTTGTGGTGAGAATTAAAATATTCATCAGAAAAAGATTTCAAAACTCATGGATATTTTTCCAATATGTGAATAAAAGTTATCAATCCTTCATTGGCTACTATTTTGCTTTAATACTTAATTCTAGAAAAAGATTAAAAGATAATAAAAAATGTATCCAATAAAGAAAAAAATTACAAATTTCAGTGCTTTTGTCTTTTGCAATATTTCTGGCTATTTAAGATTTAAAAACTTGAGCCAAGGAAAGAAAATAGCTGAGCTTTAAGAAAGAGAAAATGACTCACTTGTCTGAGATACTCTTGGCTTTCTTTTTTGGCTTGGTTGATTAAATCTGCTTGTCCTTTTAAAACCCTTATATTCCAGGAGAAATTTTCCATGGCCTGCAAATCACAAAGTTCCGTAATTCAAAAAATGTCAATTTAATATTTGTAATAACAGTGAAACTTCGCAAAACCAGCAACCCTGAAAATACCAGCACCCCTTCAAAATCAGCCAATATAAAAAGTCTAGGCCAGCACCACATAAAGGATGAATTGCCATAACTTATGCCTGGGGCCCCTACATCTATGTCAAATCCTCATAAATCTACAATGATTTAAATAGTTTTCAAACAAGAGTGAATAAAATTGACACCTTATGAACAAGTCTGAACTTTCATTGTGGCCCCACCCTACCCTCAGGGGGTCATGATTTGAACAAACTTGAATCTACACTATCTGAGGATGCTTCCATATAAATATGACCAATCATGGCTTTGTTGATCTTGAGAAGATTTTTAAAGATTTTCCCTATATATTCCTTGAGAAGATTTTTCCTATATATTCCTATGTAAAACTTTGATCCCCTATTGTGGCCCTACCCTACCCCTGGGGGTCATGATTTGAACAAACTTGAATCTACACTATCTGAGGATGCTTCATATATGACCAATAAAAGCTTTGCTGTTCTTAAGAAGAAGATTTTTTAATATTTTTCCTATATACTCCTACGTAAAACTTTGATCGACCATTGTGGCCCCACCCTACCCCTGGGGGTCATGATTTGAACAAACTTGAATCTACACCACCCGAGAATGCTTCCATATGAATATGACCAATCATTGCTTTGCTGTTCTTGAGAAGAAGATTTTTCCTATATATTCCTATGTAAAACTTTGATCGTCCATTGTGGCCCTACCCTACCACTGGGGGTCATGATTTGAAACAAACTTGAATCTACACCACCTGCAGATGCTTCCATATAAATATGACCAATCATGGCTTTCCTATTCTTGAGAGGAAGAATTTTTAAGTTTTTTCCAATATACTCCAATGTTAATTTTGATCATCCATTGTGGCCCCATCCTACCCCCGGGGGTCATGATTTGAACAAACTTGATTCTACACCACCTGAGGATGCTTCCATATAAATATGACCAATCATAGCTTTGCTGTTCTTGAGAAGAAGACTTTTGAAGATTTTTCCTACATACCCCAATGTTAAATTCTGATCGTCCACTGTGGCCCCGCCCTACCCCCAAGGGTCATGATTTGAACAAACTTGAATCTACACTACCTGACAATGATTTCACATGAGTTTCATTTTTCCTGGCTCATTGGTTCTTGAAAGTAAGATTTTTCAATGATGCCATTAATTTTTTGCTATTTCGAGCCTTCGGCTTAGGTGAGCTAAAAACCAGCAATCCTTTTAATCCGGCCATGTGGTCTGGTAAAGCAGGTGGCCAGTTTAGAGAAGTTTCACTGTACTGAGACTCTTTAAAAATTTGTTATAAAAGATGTAAATTACCTTATCCTTAACCTCTATGAGACATAAAATCAACTCTCCATACAATTTTTATATCAGAGTTCATTATAACTATAAAATATTACAAAGAATCGTTCAGAAGGTTGCAGAGAATCTAAAAAAAAATCACTATCTGTGAATTTGCTATATTTAAGTTTGATAACAAGAATTTACTGTATTGAGTTACACAAACAATGCTTTACATTTCAAATAAATCCTACAGAGAAGAATCAAGATATTTAAATCTCTTTGTGTTATGATACCTTTGATAACTTTTTGCCCTTCAGGCCTGACTGCTGGCAAATATTCTCCAAATCTTCATGCCACTCCATCCCAGCTCGCTTGCAATGCAGTAACTATGATAAAAAAAAATCTTATGACACTTCAAACATTTCAAATCATTAACAGAGGATTTTTAGTCATATTGGCAATGTTGTGATAACTGCTAGCTTATACTGTATAGTCCCCTCTCCCTTCCCATTCCTAAACACAAACCACCATCATCAAGTTTGTTTGCACTGGTAGAGTAATGAATTACAATAGTTCTTGCAACTTTCAATATTTATTGACTGCAGAACATAACGGAATACCCTCAGTGGAAGCACATTAAAAACATGCATGTAATTACCCTTTCATAAACTGTGTCTGCATTTTCAAGTAAATTCTTAATTTCTGCCACCAACTGAAAGAAAAGAATAAAAAATTTTAGCCAAGGTCTCTACAGATCAATAAATTGTAGTACAGCATACTTAAAATACAAAAACAATGACAAATCAAATACATGTTTAAAGTCTGGATATGGACACAAACCTCATCAAAGGAGAGGAGGGCTTTCTTCAAAATATCTGGCAGATTGCCTTGAGCTTCTAGGCTTGGATACTAAAACAACAAAGGGCAGTCTCATAAATTATAGTCATAATGACGAAGAATCTCACTCCCCATGGCTCTACTTTCTGAAGCATTGAGTACATGAATACTCATCATTTTACATTTAGCTTAACAAACAGAGATGCCCTCTCAAGGATTATGGATTTCATATCCCATTGTTGGTCTTGTGGAAAGAGAATGGATCTGTAAACAATTTGTCAGAGCAAATAAAATAGACTGAAGGGTTTTTTATTTACAAAAGGATAAACAAGACGGATCGGTTACATGATGCCCTAATACAAGTTGATTCAATCAGGCAATACAAACATAAAAACTATGTTTTAATACATGATTATGTAGCATCTAATTTTTTTTTAACAAAAACAGACTGACATGAGTGAATGAATATAAAAAGCTTTTAACATCAGTGATGCATCATGCCTTACCTCCCCTCTCATAACGAGGGTCAGATTAGCCTGCTCAGTGGAGTTGGATAGCCTGGTACCCATTAAACGGAAGCACTGTTTGATGTTGGCAATAGGAGATAACCCACAAGTTTCTTTGAAGTCAGCTAGAGTTATCTGTACATTATCCCTGAGGTCTGTGCCATCTCGCAGTGGTTGAATAGCAACCTACAGGAAAAATTTCAAATATCTATTCAACAACTTCCACAAAATGTTTTAAAATGCTGCATAATTCTTTTTCAAGTGCTTGAAAAAAAGCGGTGTAATATTTTCTGACAAATTTCTACCTTTATGAACCACACTGTTGCATGGTAAAACAGAAAAGAAAGTAAATTCTCAGATAATACAAATGATTGACTTAATCTACTTTAAATCAAACAGTTCAAAATACTGAAGGTTGAGCATGTTCTAATGATTTAATCTACCCTTTTCACCGTACCTTGAATGTTTCATCAATGCTTTTCACTCCCACTGACTTCATACTGATGTAATCACGTTTGGTTTTCTTCTTCACCGACATTCCACGCTTGTGTGCCTTCTACAGAAAGAAAAAAATTTCATGAACTGCACAATCTTAAAAATACCGTAATTGTGAACAAGAGAGAACAAATCTCATTATGCCTCTCCAATATGGAAAAGGCTGATAAAGGTAACACCTGCCACCTAATCTTTTAATGTAACATAAATAATAAAATATGGTCAAAAAAAAACTCTCAATGTGAAGTATTTCCCTCACCCCTCCTCCTCGTTTGTTTGTGATTGCCACATGAATGAACAAGGTGCAGTTAGGAATCTCCTCTCCTGTATTGGAGCATAAACGAATATGTCTGTATCCTGAAAAACGATTTTTTATATATCAACAACTTTTTCATTAACCTTTTTAAAAATATTTCAAATTTGCAATATAAATCTGCATACCTAAAGAAATCTTTACCTAATTTTTTTTTTTTAAATCTGAATCTGTTCTGTATTCAAATTTTTATATCTTAATTAATCTAAAACCCTTTCCATACTGATTAATTTTAAAACTGGGTAATTCTAATAAAGCTACAATTTATGGTTGGCTAAATAACTTTGGGCCAATTTTAAATAGAAATTAAATCATATATGGGGCATATGGCTAAATATTTTCCTGTTGCAGTATTGACAAACTTATGTCAAATCCTGTAAATTGTAATAAAAGAACAAACCTGTCTGCATGCATTCAAAAGGAATGGTGTACTGTCCAATGAACTCATCACCGATATAATCGTCATCCAAGACAGCGAACCGAACCAAAGCCAGCTCAGGAAGGTTAATCTTGAACTCAAAACTCTCATCAAATATGGGACTATATCCTACGAGAGAAAAACAGGTAAAAGTAGCATTAACTACTTATTTATGTAAAACTTAACTTGGATACCAGAGGAATTTTTAGATGAAATTTTAATGGATTTACAACATATATATATATATATATATATATATATATATATATATATATATATATATATATATATATATATATATATATATATATATATATATATATATATATATATATAGGGAAATGTGACCCTGATGTTCATCGATTGTTAATTGGATGAAGAAACTACCAAAATAAAGTAATAAAAAGTTTTCTGTACAAAGGTCCTGGCCTACACACCATTATGGGGCACAGTTTTGGTCCTCTCTTCTGCACAGTCAGCAGGGATGCCGAAAATCTCTATGGTAACATATGGGTCTGTGACATCGCCGCGGGCACCAGAACCTTTGGGTTTTGGAAAATGCTGTCCACTGACAACCTACACATATAAACATAATGTAACATATTCTGTAATCCAGGTGTTTTTAAGTATATACTGATCAAGTGTAAATCTGTTTGCATTTTACCTTTATGTGCAATATTTGAGATGACACCCCTGGAATGACGTCTTTTGTGTTGGCGCTGAAGTACGCAATCTCCTCCCTCATAATTGCTGGCTTCAGAATATACCCACAGTTAGCATTACGTCGAAAGAATCCATGGTATAGATCCATCATTAAACCATGGGTTTGATAATTCAAGGCCACTGTAATAAACACACACATCTCTGCTATTAAGTTTTCAAAACAGATTATAGATACATGCATGTACAATTTCTCTTCCAGATTCAAATACTTTATAATTCAAATTCCTCTATCACTTTAAAAAACTGTTAAGAAATGCCAAGTCCAAAGATGTAACTTGTCAGTAACTGGAAATAATTTTTTCTTTAAAATACTGCTGTTTAATTTTATTAAATGCAATCCTCTCTCAATTACCTGTCATCATATTATTGTATATAATCCCCCCTTCCCCCCCCCCTTCTTTCCCCTCCCCAGTAACTTCAGGACTTCGCATCACCCATCTGACACCCACAATTCCAGAGGTCCTGTGGGTTATAGTTACTGGAGTCCACCCTCATTCCATTGGGATAAATACGTGACAGGAACTTCTTATTGTGGTTTACAAACTCCTCAGGACAACTCATGGCCAGTTTGATGGCAGTGGATTCACTGAATGAACACATCTCATAGTATTTCTCTGCAATTTTTAATAATTGATAGGTTAAGAAATCAATCAATAGGGGGGAACTTTTTTATCACTTACTTTTTTCTCCAATATCATGCACTTTATATATATTTCATCCATGCCCCGTAATTATCAATATCTAGTTGTTTTCATTTGGGAGGCACCATTCTCATATTTAGAGAAACTAAATCTATATGAAAAAGAACGTAAATTTCCAATATAAATGTACATACGACTTGTTTGGGGTAGTTGGAAGTCATGGAATCTAGTGGACACACAATAATTCACCAAGTCAGACAACTCTTTAGCCAGTTTGTGCTTCTTCACTGGGTGATCCTGTAACACAATCAATTTAGTCTAATATACTTTCACATTTTCTTGTATCTGATATTAACAATGAATTTGATGTTATTTCAAAACATTTTAAAATTCTAAAACAAGTTCTACCTTCAGTAAAACAAAGAAATAATGTTAACCTTAGACATCAATGTTCAACATTAGCATCTATTTGTGTATACAAAATAGATGCCTTTATTTTACGAGAAAAGTATATTTGCAGGGACCTATATACTAGTATATAGGTCCCTTCAACTCCCTTGTACGTTGGCTTTTAAGAGTCGGGCTTGGATGACACAGCAAGTGTCTATATAAAGGGTCGGGTTTGTTCTTCACATTCCTTTCTGCTGAACCTTTCAAAGGTAAAGACGCATAACAAATGCTTGCAAAAAATACTTCTAATTTTTGCTTTGTATTTTAAAAAATCGTATAATTTTCCATTTATGTATTGTTTTTCAACCATTTTAAAGCTTTTATTACTGTTGATGTTTATTAAATAAGGCGCATGATGTTGGATTCAAAATTTTTACGCAGCAGACGACGCACACGCGGTTATGCCAAAAAATAATTAATTCACCTTTGTATTGTTATTAAATGATCAAATACTGGTTATCAACATTAATTATTGTCTTTTTGTTTCATACTGCGTCGAAATCGGAAAATGCAAACCCAGAATAGGGGAACAACAATATGGAAACTCGGTCGGACCTTTTTTGTGGACACAGTGAGGATGGGTCAAAATATAAGTCAAAGAAAAGAAAAGCAAATAATCTGTGAACCAGTTGGAAAACCAGACATTGAATATACGTATCATCACAATCCAATATATCAGGTACATCCAACACCTTTGAAATACATAAATTGAATGTTTATACTTGATTAATCTTTGCCATTGTAGAATGAGACAAAAATATATAAGCAATAGTCTGCTTATACAGTGTATAGATATTGCTTCTAAAAATCCTTTCCTTAAAGTGTTACCTTTCAAGCTTAGAGTGTAGAATTTATTTCTATTTTTAAAGAAAGGGGGGGGGGGCTTACTAAGGAAAAAACTATTAAGTTTCAAACAAAAGTACCGGAAAGTCAAGCTGAAAACAAAATGTATATAAATATAACTACCAGTAAATCCTACAAAATTATGTCACAATAAAATAATCTTTCAAAAATACATTCAAATCATATTTTATTTTTACCATAGAATTCTCTCAAAATAAGGAGAAAAGACTTACATTTGCCTGGAATTGTTCAAAACTAAGGTCAAAATAATTCAATAGATTGTGCATAGATGCTATTGTAAGGTGCACATTGTACAGCAGCCTTAACTTTGCCATTTGTCCGGTTATATTAGTAGAATGTTCTGGACCTATTATACATTTATATTAGGTTTCTATTTGTGAGAGGATTAAGCTTAGTTTTTGTGTAAATTCAGGTAGTATGTAATATAACAGATACAATGTTCTGTGTAATTGTAAAGTAGAACTTGATGAATCTTTCAAATCCAACTATTAGCCACTACTTACAACAGGGCTCAGACTCAACAATGATTTGTTTGGAGAAACAATAAATTTATGAAAGCATCAGAACCAAAGAAAGCCCTAAAATTCTTGTTTCATGAAAGAATTTGTAATTAAAGTTAGAGCACTAGATTATAAAAATAAATAAATAAATAAATAAAATCTGTAAGCAAACCACCTTATCATATCTCTAGTGTGTGATGAATTTAAATAAAAGGGAGAATGAAACCACCTATCTTGCCCAGAGAAGGGTATTGTTATATTTATTTAAATGCTCCAGAGCTTTCCTGGAGTTCAGTGCTTTGTATTCATGAAATTTTAGACTAATGTTGTGAAAAGGAGGTTCTGATATATAGGTAAGTCATAAGATCAGTTGCATATCATAAGTTGTTACAGATTTACACTCCAGTTGAGCTTCCAACTCAATATATATATGACTTGAAACAGGGGGATCTTAATTGTGTGGGGTCTGGGAGCAGTAAACCTCTAGAAAAGGCCTTTCTCAAGTCTCGTATCTTTAGGTGCTCTCATCGAGGATTCTATTTGCTAGCTATTAAATTGAAATGAAATGATCTTGTAATACAAAAAGGGGGGATTTATCATTGTTAAACCACATCAATTATCAATCTCATATTGATTAAGTTTGAATGAAAAGGAATATGCAAATATTTTTATATTAACATCCATTTTCTATTACTGGAATTAGGATATCTTTGTTATGATCCTGTAGAGTGCAAATGAAAGGTTGGAAATTACAACATCTTGTACAAGAATGTTTTGTGATCACTTATTAATGAATACATGTATATCTTAATGACCAATTATTAAATCAAAAAGTAAATACAGTCAAACCTCATTGTATTGAACTTATTGGACAAGAAATAACTTTCAATTGAGATGTTGGATATTTGAGATGTCAATATTAGAATGCTTGAGGAGTAAGTGTCAATCTTAAGTAACCATTTTATTTAAGATATCAGTGTTCCAAATACCAAAGTTAATATTACAATTACTTCTGTAAAGCAATTAAAACTTATAGAACATTCATCAGATTGTATGTTGCAAAATGAATATATGGTCTTATTTTAACTATATTTAGTTGTCTTTAGACATCAGAAGTGACCCAAAGAAAAACTTTGTCAAGTACATGTACCTTAAATTCTTCATAATGTAGCAATTAATTCTCAGAAGAGTCCTAGAAGGATGCTTATATTTTGTAATTTTATACAGATGATGCTGATTGTTTGACTTCGGGCATTGGGCTTACATTTTAAGGTGTTTGGATCTGAAAACTCCTAACAGGGTGCTTATATTTTGTAATTTTGTACATGTATATAATGCTGATTCTTAGACTTCAGGATGTACATTTGGTTTACATTTTAATGAGTTTGGTTTTGTTTTTAATCAGAACACCAGAAAAATATAATTTCCTTTTTGGATCAAGTCCATACTGATAGCAGTACTAGTTATTTTCAGGCTTATTGCATTTGAAAATAATTATCTCCAGTTGGTGTCATTAATAATCAAATATCTATACCTAAAAGAATTTTATACTTTGCTATGCATTTTGTACTACACTGGAACAATATGGTCATGCAGAGCTGTATAGAGTTCTGATGCACATACCTGTGTCACAGGCATTAATAATGTTTATTGAAAGACTCTTTATCAGAGGTAAAGAAATTAACACATAAATATGATTAGTTGAGTATACTAGTATGGCAAGCATCTGTAATAAAATTGCAGCCTAAAAATCACAGGTTCAAATTGGCACTGTCAATGTGCCAGATATCTTCATTGCAGCTAAACTGGTTATTGGTAAGTATAAATTTGAATAAACTTGTTACATGTATCAGGTAATGTATCTTTTTCTAGGAATATCATTAAGACCAGTATATATTTTCAAAATATCAATATTATTATAATTAACAGTTCTACAACCATTGGTAACCATAATTAAGTAGTGTGATATATTCTTATAATTGTGTAATCTATATTTGGGTTGGGAATCTCCCGAGAAACTTGCATATTTAGGTATCAATAGGAATATAGTGAGATTCAACCTTGAAACTGGAGTTTTTGAAATGTGATTAAGGATTTCAAATTGCTAATTAGAGAGTGAATGTGTCACCCTTGGTGACATGAAACTTGGTTCATCAAATAGCAGCATATGCATTGGCTTTCCTAGCAATTTTCATGGATTGAGAATTATGCTGTATGTAATGATAATGAATGAAACTCCCCCTATTTGGTTATAAATCTCCAGATATTTGTTTTGATTAGTTACAACCATGTATATAAAACTTGTCTTGGCTAATAGACAATTCAAAACAAAATTAACAAGCAACGGTAAACTTTATGTAAATGCATTGCAAGGTGGCATATACATCTGTGAAGCAGGATATAGTAGGGAAGTTTCTTTCTACAAGACCAAAGCTTTATTAAGCATATAGGGAATAGATTTTCCTGTTATTTCCCGGTCATGACAAGAAGCACACGTCGGGTGTGACCGGTCGGCAGAGGATGCTCACTCCTCCATGGCACCTGATCCCACCTCTGTGTTTTAGAGGTCTGTGCACGTTTGCTCTGCTCCACATATTTCATTGGCAAGTTTTGATTACTTAATGTGTTATAGCACCTTTCTTAATAGAGGAAAATTCAAAATTTATTCCCAGTCTGCTGAAGGATTAACACGTGTGTAAGTACCCAGGGGGAAGGGGGGTCTTGGGCAGTATTGGTCGCGGAACAGTTGACTTGTTTTTGCTTCCCCCAATGTGTGGGGTGACTGCAATCTGTGCCAGCTTGCAGCCATGTGGCGTCTGCGCACACCAAGTCAACTGATAACTGAATATTTGTGTGAAACTTGTACTGAACTGTCACCTTGTTAATATGCTAATGCTAGTGTAAACTAAGCTAATAAGCTTACTCTTGGTGACAGTGATATATACTTTAGAGCTGTAATATATAGTACAACTTTGAAATATGAAAAAGTTTGATATTTGAAGTTTGAGATGTTTGATCTATCAAGTTTGAGATATTTGATATATTATGTACAAGATTTGATATATGAAGTTGATATGCTTGATATTTGAAGTTTGAGATATGACTTTGATTTTGAACAGTTTGTATGTTGATTTTGAACAGTTTGTATGTGTGCTGACCCTCCGCGGTAAACCCGGGACGAGTAGACTTTGAAACACACATGAAGTTTGAATTTGGTGGGATTGCCCAGTTGAAATGGCATCCCACAATGTTTGTATTTTATTGTGCCACGGCCAATACTCGCCACAATAAATATAAATTCTATACTGAGTTCTGTGTCATTTTCTCTGTATAAATAATGATATACTGTACATGTACTAGCACATTTATTTAGCCAAATTGTCAAGAAAGTCATCTTTTTAAAACACGTGAAAACCTTGGTTTTGTTATTTTTCTTCTTGTCTGACTCCGCCCCTTCATCCTCATCTGTAACATACCCGTCCTCTGAGTCAGGAGGCAACTTCTTACCCTGTATCACAAAAAAGGTTCAAACTCTTCATCATGATCTTGGATTCATAACTAATGTACATGTATATAAATATGAGAAATCTATAAACTTTTGCTTTGGGGCATATCACATAAATTTCATCACTAAAGCTAAAAAAAAATTTGGATTCATACACAAATTTGTACATCTATATATATGTGCCGACCAATCTATGAACTCTGGGAAATCCCATAACTTTAAAGTGGAATCCTATGTCCTATTTTACCTTGATAAGTATTTTTCCTTTGAGAGAGTCTGGTGAAGGAAGACAAGTCTCGTTCTCAGGGACACTCTCACTACACAACTTATCTCCAAATATTGAGGTCATGTATTCAGCCATCGCCTGCTGCTGTTTGATGTTACAATGGTTTTCTATTGACAATATCACAGGATACCTGAAAAACAATACCACACTCTCAAGTACTTTTCTCCTTACCTGTAGTTCTAAAAAGCTTGTCATTGACTTCCATTTCAAAGAATAGTCTCGGTTCTGCTTTTGTCTTTTTTATTCATTTTGTAATTAAATATAGAAGATGATTGAGATTTTTTTCAAATGAGAACTTACTCAGAGGTTTCAAATGCATAAGTGTTAATGGCTTCAATAACGGCCTTGAACTGTATCTTTGAGGTGAAGGTATGTCCATGGTAAATAATGGGGTCATCGTTTGGTCCATCCCAGCAATCCACTAAAACAAATTATAGTCTTTACATTGTAATTGATTTGACTTCAAGCATGTCAAACAAATACATGTACTTATTAATTCCACACCTTCCAATAATTAAGATAGGTTCAGCAATATCTTATATGTACATGTATTTAATTTTATTTATTTAACACTTTTTGAAATGCACATTGAACATAACCTGCATGTATGGAATGTATTAAACGTTTTAAAAGCTTCCTGCAGAAATGACAATATTTGTTCTATGCATATTCATATAACACACTAAGATATGTTTAATACAAATGCCTTTATGATATGCTTACAACTGACTCTTCAATAAGTACAGAAAGGACATTCCTATGAAAAAAAAAAGAATACTGATTTTATTTTAATGAGTTCGAGTAAAATGTGTCCATATTCCTTCCAGCCAGACCGCTAATTACTTTTTTAAATGTAGCTTACAACAGTTGCACTACTTGTAGGCAATTAGGAAATTGATTTTACACTGATCAGGAAAAGGAATGTGTTGTCTGACAAAAGTAGACTTGTGTTGGAGGGGAAAACATAGGATACAACTTGTCCTACAATTAATCCCCTATTACCCCTAACATTTCTCATCATAATAACATAGATCTGTGATGATTAGACCCCCAGACTCGAACTTTCTGTCACTGCTTTTATACATCTGAAAGATAGATTTCACACTCTGATTCCCAAAATAACAACTGGCAATGCCTGAATCAACACTGATCATAAATCTGAGATACAAGATTTGCCCTACATTTCTGTTTTCTGAGGAGTACTGTAAACATCAGTTAGTGGCATTGAAAAAATACTCTCCGCATGAATTTATGCAACAGTACACTGATAAATAAACCCATGCCACTGCACTAACAATGTGAGAGAATTAACTAGATTATTAAAGGAACATACAAAAGTATCACTTGCAAAGCAACATTTAGGATTGTTTCAAAATTGATGTTATCTTTCCAGTAAAAATTGAAAGAAATGGAAAAGATTGTTTGAAATGTGATTTTATTCTAGACAAAGGTCAAGGTTGCACATTTGATCATTAAACTCTGATAGTTTTTAGCAAAAAAGGCCATCATAAAGATCTATGTTTATATAAGTAAAATGAATAAATTTAGCCACTTTTAATTCAGTTTTTCAGTAATGCCCTTTAAAGTGATAAAAAAAAATTGTATAGATTTATAATGGTGATTGCAAAAAGAAAGGAAAAAAGTCTACAATTTCCTGACATTTTAGAAATTTGATATACATATATGCATCATTTACAACCCAAATAAGGCAAAAAATATATACATGTACTAATCCATGCATCTAAATTACCAATTCTTTGTTTGCTTCCTGTGTCCTTAATTGAAATATTGCATATCAAATCCTCATCCATCCTATATATATATATATATATTGATGTAGTAAACTTGTGTACCAAGTTTTATTGAAATTGGTTCAAAACTTTAGAAGGAGTGGCAGTTTGCATGGATATTATTTACTGGAAACAATGTTCCTAAAAACCAAAGACCAATAAATATAAATGTCAAAGATCACATTTTCAGAAACTCTTTTTGAAAGACCTGCTAAGGAATGAAAAACATTTTAAACATCAAAGGCAGGGCATAACTCCCTCTCTTTTAAAGTGTGTTGGTTTGAACATATTTTATTGTAGTTTTTGATTACAAAGGGATTGGGCACAAGTTCTAAAAACTTATTAAGCCCTCTCCCTACATGTAAATGACAAAAATTAAATTAAATTAGGTCACAGTTAAATATGTACATTCAAAATATTCAATAATAGTGAAATTTACAAATCAATGCATTTTAAGAAATCATACATATAATTTAAAGTGTGTTAAAGTTCAAGTTCAAGGTCACAGCACTCCATAAAACACTCTATAAAGTCTATATACATGCTAAATATCAAAACTTTACCTGTTGCAATTTCAAAGGTATAAGAGAAGAATTAATTATTTTTTTAAAATAAGGCCAAAATGGCAATAATTCCATAGCACATGGTCAAAAACTAATGTATTAATTTTTTTTAAAAAGGTCATGTGACATTAGACTGCATCTTATAAATTTCACAGCCTTACCTCTCACAGGTTAAAAAAAAGGTTTTCTTTTCCTCAAAGTTACACGAAAGTCAAGTTTAATGTCAAAAAGATAGTAAGCCTTTTATTAAAGCCCTGAGGTCAAGTAAAACATATGTAATATATATATTAGATCCCTTATTTTTCCTCTCATAGGTTCATAAGAAAATGGGGGTGTCAAAGACAGACTAACAGACACCAAGTGAAGTGATCAAAGTGTTACTTTGCACTGCAGGAAAAACCTAATCACCCCCCCCCCCCCAATTACAGCTACATTCAACATCTTTGCCTTTAATCATGTGTAAAGTGACTGTGAATAGCCTATCATAATTGCATTTACCATTCATACATTTTTAACAATGCAAAGATGTAAGTACACTCCGGTGATGTAGTTGTTTCACCATATGAACATCTAAGGCATTTCATCCTCAAATATAATGTACTGATTACCAGTAACATTTTCCCACCACTCAGTAATGATGCATAATACTGTCGCAGTAAAAACTGTTATTTCCCAGGAATTCAAAATAATTTGCCTGCATGTATATGAACAAGATTCTCTGGCCTTCAAAGTACCTTTTTTCTGATATTCTCTCTTTCCTTTTTTTCTCTCTCTCTCACTATTCAAACTTAACTGACACTTCTACATACAGATATTAATTTAGTCAGGACATACAAGTAAGGTTCCGCACGTGATGGACCCTCCCCCTCTCTTTCTCTCTCTCTCTCTCTCTTATAGAATAAACTACTGATATTCCAAGAAGCAATAGCTGACGGTAATGGCACATACATAAGATTCCATACCTCATAGGCCACCCACTATGTATACCTAGGTATGTTATAAACTACTAACATTCCACATTGCTGCATCCCATAGTAATGGCATATTGCTAAGCTTACATCTTACGGTATTGGCACATATCTAAGCTTACACCTAATGGTAATGGCACATATCTAACCTTACACCTTATGGTAATGGCACAAATCTTACCTTACACCTTATGGTAATGGCACATATCTAAACTTTCACACCTGATGCCTTTTTTTCTCACTAGAAACGTATATGCTACTTACGTTCCACACAGCGACATCCTTTCGTAAGGGCACGTATATAAGCCTCGAAACTAGGCGGGCCTTGTAACTGGTCTTTCATAAGATACCTGAACCAAAAAAAAATTACAGATATAATACAAATTATAAAAAGAACATAAGAAAAAAATAAAGTGGTCATTTATCATTTTTATTAGCATTAAGCCTAGCATTAAGCCTGTAAATAAACTAATGATGTAGAATTTATATTTATTTTTATTAATATATTAATCGAAATCTAGATTGATAGGAATTTCAAACACATGGACACTATTCCTCTTAATACATTATTTGAGGAAAAAAATCTCTTGACACCATAATAACAGGGACCCTGATATAATTCTCATCTTTCAATTTTGATGTCTATTTTCTTTTTCAGAGTAATTTGTCATCACTCTACATCTATTAAAACCATAGCATTAAGTCCACACATCAGAATTTGTAATGAATTCCCTAAAGAGGAAGCTTACAAAAAAAGAATTTGCTTATTTCCTTATTCAAGGTCTCATAACAATTTTCTCTGTGTTCTTTGGAGAGACAAACCTAATTCCTCATCAGCTAAACATGAGCGTATCTTCCACTTTTTGGACCAAAAAACATCTATCATCCTTAACAGGCACTGGGCTTGTGACGGAGTTGAATCAAGATATAGGTTCTGATTGGGGTCCCTTGTACTTACGTATTGTGCGAGCTGGCAATAAAGTAATGACTCAAAGGTTGGTTCATGTCCTCACAAATTTTGTTCTGGTCAGGATCAAATATATCACATTCCTCAGACAGCAAATAATCTGTGAATCCTGCAAATTATCCAAAATGAATTCAATCACTATTTGACTGGAGATACACAAATTAAACATTAATGGGTTGTCTGATATGGTACAATGGGAAAATTGCATGCATGGTGTGCAAGGACTTTTTTTGTGGGATAAGTTTACTATCTATATAAAACCAAAGTTCATGTTAATTACGAATATATATTAGATAATATTCTTTCATATTGAAAAAAAATGCATTGCATGCAGCAACAGCATTCATCTTTTAATGTCACCCAACATATTAATATAAAAAGAAAAAAAAAAGTTCAGACTGGTATTTAGATTTCCATAGAAAAGATCTCCCTGCAAAACTACTAATCAAATTAAGTCAGCTAGACCACACCATTTAAATTTTCATTTCATCTCTTCAGCTTATCTGTCTCTAAGAGGTAAATTTCTAGGAGAATAAAGGTCTTCATTTTTAATATATTGTGATTACTTTTCCCCTATGCCAATAGTAGAGTTTTAAGGAATGAATAGGTAAAAAATACTTAGTCTACGAACAAAGGGTACACATTGTAAGCATACTGAAGGGGAACAACCCCACCCCACCCACAATCCTGCTTTCTGCAATAAATAATGTTTCTCTCCTTATATTTTCTATCATGGCTAGACCACTGGATGTAATTTAACTTGTAATTGACAGTCATTTCCTGTTCGTTCAATTAACTCACCATCTATTCCTAACTGCCCTTTTTCTCTCCCATCTTTTGAGGGTTCAAACCTATTGATTATATCAATACATTTGTCTTTCGTCACTCTTTGCATCTGAAAATAAGTCACACAAACAAGATGTTTACTAAGCAAGGATTTATTTCCCTTAAGGTCAATGTATCATAAGTAAGTGGTAAAAAAGCTAATGATATTCAAAGCATAGCATATACTACAAAGAGACTTTGTAAATATCAGCTCCTTGCCAATTATACATGTAGGAAGCAAATTTCTTCTGTCCATTCACAATGGAGTTCATGATGACCAGGAAAAATGACTCCTCTGTGGTTGATTTGCAATGCAGATCACCTAATGTCATGTCCCACTGTCATACACACCCAAGAAACCATACAATGTACTCAGTATTATACCAAATGAATAATCTTGTTTGTTTTTATTTATTTAGATGATTGTTAAAGAAATGAAATTTATTAATAATGCACAATGGGTATATGTACGAACATTTCATTTTTTAATTCTCTCTTTTTTTAAGGCTATTGAAGATTTTACCTGAAGAAAAAAACGGCTGTTTGATCACCAATTATGAGAGAATGGATTTTTTTCTCCTCTTTTAATATAACATTATTTTGATTGATTCCAACAGGCTTTATACAGAAAGATTCGACAATGCCTTGTAATGAAATTAATTCGTATTAAGTTCACAGTACTGGGAATTCTTTATTGAAGTGGAATCCATATGCAATTAATTTTCTAAAGAAGGTAGTAGGAATTTTACCATAGCACTTTGAAAATTGAATTAAAATCAATTTTTAAATGAAAAAAAATTAGCAGATTACAACGTAAGAATACAAGTAAAGTTAAAAAGAGTAAAAAAAAAAAAAAAAAAAAAAAAAAAAAAAAAAAAAAAAAAAAAAAAACAACAATAGAGCAACATTATTTTGCTATAACCATCAGCTGAAATTTCATCTCAATTTATTTAACATCATTGACTCGGAATTAATCAGACACTTCCTACTGGAAGAGTTAATGGATTTTTCAGTCTTTTGTTGAAAACAATGCCAAAATTTTCTGCCATTTATCTAATGATTCAATTTTCTCAATTTGCCTCCCACTATCGTTAAGGAAGTAGAGACCATAAGCTACCTTCTTATATTGTGGTCACTAATCCCAAAGAAATCCATTTCTGGTGTTAAATTACTTTTCATAAAGTTCACCAGTCTTACTGCAGAAATGAAAATTTTTATGTAACGCAGTAGACATTAATTATGAATGAATAAATTTCAGCATAATTTGAATGACAAAATGAGCTTCACAAGACACAGGGCAATCGTATGTAAGTATGTAAATGTGAACTGTACTTACCCCTTACTCTGCTTCTAAAAATAGAAGTAAGTCATCTGTGGTGAGGTACTCTGTATTGCTGGCATACCTACAACATAGTCCTCAAAATATTATATTCTTCATGGCATACCTATATAACATAGTTTATTCTTAAATGCTTCACTCTCCATGGCATATCTATACAACAAATTACTGAAAATATATTCCTCATGATATACTTACCTAACATAGCCCTAAAAATATTACATTCCTCATGGTGAATCCACAAGATAGTTGCCCTAATATATTTTCTTTATAGGAAAAGGAAACACTGAATTATACGTCTTGCTATTTTTTGCCTTTCATTGCAGTTTGTCCTATACTGTAGAATCATTTTAATTCGTGGGGGTCAATGTCAATGTTCATGGGCAAGCCAAATTTTGTTGGTTAGTATCTGGGGATGTAATTTCATGAGTAACTTGTACATACAGAAGATTTGATGAATAAATATGTTGAAAAATAAATGTTCATGGGGATGTGAATTCGTGGATAAGGGTGAACCATGAAATTCAGGAACATTGGTCCCCCACGAACATTGATGATTCCACAGTACCTGTACTTTAAATTAACAAGAGGCCCATGGGCCACAGCGCTCACCTGAGTAACTTGGGACTGGCTGTTTTTCACCTGATCTCTTATAATAAATCTACATTTCCTGTAGATCTAACTCCTCCAATTGTAACATTATTCATCAATTTCTATTTCATTAAACTGAACCCTAAAGGTAACTTTGTTCTAAGACTCTGTTTCGATAACAATGTCTGAGCTAACATTGCTATATTGATCCAACATCCCAATGATGCCCAATATTCCATCAATGGTCCAAACACTGCTATCATGCCTTTTACGAGCGTGATAAGGCTTTTAATAGCCCACGTTGCCCAATGGCTCAATAAGCAGCATGAAGTAAAAAGACCTAATGTGTTAATCAATCATCAGCAATCATTATCTCTTATATAAAGTAAGCTTTCCACATAGAAAACTCAGAGGGGGTAAAGATGCTTAAATATCCATACTTATTAAGATATCATGTTTATGAACTTGGCTGGTACTATTGCTACAAAAGGACATGTAAAAATCTGTAATGTGTACCAAGTGTGGATTATAAGGGCAACAACAACACAGAACTTGGTATCCGTTCATTCCTCATCAAGCTGTTATTTTTTTTCCTGTGGACAATAATTGATGTCTTGGAGTTTTCAACCCCTGCCCTTTTACTGCATCCATCTCTTAGGCCCTACAAGGACTGGAAATGGATTAAAACTTGTGGTATATGATATAATACCCCCCCCCCCCTCTCCAAGCATACACTTGGTTGTCACTATATGCCTTTGAATTAAGATCATATCTAATGTAATGGTTAAAAAACACAGGTGACTACATTTTATAAAATGATTACATGTAAATATCTATTGCACTGACAAAATCTGAAGACATCAGCACTTTGCTTTTTAAATGGCTTTGACCTTTAAGACATGACCTTGAACCAGGACTATAACACTTGCCTGGGTTTTCGAATACAATAACCTTAGAACTGCATTAATTTCTGTCTTAATGGTTACAAGTTATAGCACGAAGAAAATTATATCTCATTCTCCATTGACCCTTCTTGTTGAGAAATGACCATAAGTCAACAATATGTCATGGACACTTACAGCAAAATGATTTCAACATTACACTGACCTTGACCTTTGATTTTTTTTTTTTTGAAATATGGCCTTGAGTCACGATGATAAGACATAAAGTTAAATTCACTCCACGCAAGACTTGGAAATTTATGTCTCACTCAACATTCTTTAAAAGAGGGACATACTGATGAAAGGGCTCAAACAATGTCTTCACAAAACTTCATTAGGACAGACAATTAACAGAGTATATCCCCATCCATTTAAAACTATTTTGTTATCTACAGTGGCAATGTTGTCGTATTTATTCTTTACATATGTACCAGACACCTACCGCACTAATAGAAAGTAAATTTCATGTCGAGTTGATTTGCTTTCTGTAGAAGGCTCACAAGCGTGGGCATGTGCCCCATTGGTCGTCCTTATTCTTGTACTTTTAAGGTAGGATCTTATTGCTTAAATTCATTGTAAATATCGCAACACGACAATTTGTCTATGACTTGATAATATGGGATAGTGAACTGTATCATATGTGTAAAATTTATTCCCTTTCTTCCTACTTCGACATAATGAATGTAAAATTGAGACCGTGTTACATGTATGTGCTTTTATTTTTGCGAATTTACGAAAAAGCGTGACTCGTAGCAAAAAGTATCTTTAAAAAAAAGAATATAACAAAAGTACATTGCTTGCACTGAAGAATTTATCACCCTTAGCTGAAAGATAGTTATAAGCTTTGAAACATTTTTTGCCTTTACTTTTCAACAAAGCAGTTTTTGAATGAAATAAAATATTTTTGTACATCTTGTTTTAATTATTTGATAGTTATTTCAACTTCCTTTACAGTCATGATATGATTTTCAGCTTTAGTTTTGAAAATATCGAAGTTAACTTTAACCTTAGTGATAGTGAAATATTTATCAGGAAACAAAGTAATGACTAAAATATACATGTCATTTATCGAGATAAATCTTATTATCTTAAATTAGATTTTAGGAACATGGAGGAAGCGGATTAATAATAAGTTGGAATAACTTCTTTCTAAATTCTATTTGTATTATGTATTGTGTAAATACGATAACTAGTTTAAATGTATTAAAATCAAAACTACAATTATGTTTGATTAGTTTTCTTTTGTTTTTTGAATGAATTTTCATGGTGGCACATTTTTTATACATGATAATGACTACTGTCTACTTAAAATACATAAGAAATTTACAATATGGTTATGATATAAAAATAAATACTAAACGAAGACAAACAAAAAACAAACAAACAAACAAAAACAAAACAAAAAAGAGTTTATATTTTAAAATTATTTCAACTAGAAGCGTTATACTATATATTTATGGGTCATGAATAAATATATCAATAATTCCCTATTCATTTACTTTCTTGCTTCCCTTTGAAGTCAGAAAGAGGCGTAATCTTACCAAAATAATTTATGAAAATAATTACCCCTTTTAGTACTAAAAAAGACAATTCATGTCCTGTTTAACAAACTTCACAAAGCAGTCTTAGTATTCACATTTACTTGGCCCTGGAGAAAATGTTATAAGCCGTTTTATAACACGCTTTTTGTCTCTGTTTCTGAAAATATATGAATACCACTATACTTTCCTGTGATACTTCAGAACAGATAATTCAATTATATCATGAATTCTTGTATAAATCATGAAACCCGTTGCCCCCATTCTCACTGCGGGGAGTACTAAAGGTTGAAAAAGGATACAGTTTTTTATTGACTTTCTTTAAACTTACAGAAACTATGAATTATAATAGTTTTACTCCGATTTCTTGCAACTGCTTGATATATATGTTAATTTCATATCATTCAGTGAAAGAAACATCCATTCAAAATATCGGCAATATGAAATAAATCCAGTATCGAGGACTTACTGTTAAAAAAATATGGTACTGTATATTACCAAATTTTTGCCACACCTTATTTTTGCGAGATAATTATTTGGTATTCATTAGCGCGATAAAATTTTAGCGAGTTTGATTTATTGTTGTCTGTAATCTTTGATACTACAAATATTCGCGAGAATGAAATTTTTGAGACCAGACAGTATCGCATAATAACTCGAAAGTAATGTTTTCGCGATTGAAAAGTGATTTACAGTTTATAGTTGCTCTTGCCTATTTCAAAAGACATAACAATCTTCTTTTCTTCTTTAGAATTTCTACATGAGTATTTGGAAACATTTTGCCATCTCCATATATTTCATTTGATTATACAGTAGGCTACTGACTGATAAGTTGATGTGACGAGGATCTCTACAACCTCTTTTAAAGTCAGTATTTCGTAAATTTTGTGGTCCTTATAATGACCTTGTTAGCAAATATAACCTAACATTGGGTCGTATTTTGGCTGACTTGTTTCATACCAATTGTTAGGCCTTTGATTTTATACTGAACTTGACTACGGAATGTTCCATCTACTGGATCAATACATAAGACTCACGGCGGATGTAACCGGTCAACAGAGAATGTTTACTCCTCATAGGCACCTTGTCCCACCTCTGGAATTTCCAGGGGTCCTCGTGCCCTCTTCATAGAATTATGTTGTTTATAGAGTTTTTGAGATTGATCACTGTTCTTCATCTTCATCACTTTCATTTGTTTATCATAAATTAATGCAATTTACATTTTTCACAGAATAAAGCATTTCTTATTTATATTCTTAAAGCCAATTATGGAGTATTTTTGATAAGTTCAGATAAGTTCAGATTTAAAACAAGAGGCCCAGGGGCCACATCGCTCACCTGAGCACTATGACTAGGAAAAAGCAGAAATCACTTCAATCTTGAAAGGTTGAAAAGTTTAAATATAAAAGTGGTTGGGGGGGGGGTGTCATGAATTCAACAAATTTGAATCTACATTATCTGAGGATGCTTCCATTTAAATATGACCAATCATGGCTTTGCTGTTCTTGAGTAGAAGATTTTTAAAGATTTAACCTATGTATTCCTATGTAAAACTTTGATCACCCATTGTGGCCCCACCCGACCCCCAGGGGTCATGTTTGAACAAACTTGAATGTACACTATCTAAGAATGCTTCCATATAAATATGACCAATCATGGCTTTGCTATTCTTAACAAATAGTTTTTTTTAAAGATTTTTACTATGTGTTCCAATGTAAAACTTTGATTGCCCATTGTGGCCCCACCCGACCCCCGGGGTTCATGATTCGAACAAATTTGTATGTACACTATCTGAGGATGCTACCATATAAATATGACCAATCATGGCTTTGCTGTTCTTGAGAAGAAGATTTTAACTATGTGTTCCTGTGTAAAATTTTGATCGCTCATTGTGGCCCCACCCGACCCCCGGGGGTCATGAGTTGAATAAATTTGAATGTACACTATCTGAGGATACTTCCATGTAAATATGACCAATCATGGCTTTGCTGTTCT